AAAAAAAAAATTATTTCTGATTAAAAAAGGGGAATTGAATAAAAAATGATAACTGGAAACCGTATTTCAAAAATACTTATGGTTTTGGAAAACGTATTTTGTAAACACGTTTTTCATTTCTATAATTTAATTTAAAAAAAAAATCTTTTACAATGTATAATCGGAATACGTTTTTAATTTACTCAAAAAACGTTCATTAACGAATACGTTTTAATAAAACGTATCATTCGTTTTTAATAAAAAAAAAAAAGTAAAACGTATAATGAAAATACGTTTTACAATTAATTAATAGTAAAACGTATTCTAGTTTCAGTTGGTTGTGGATTTTTTGTTTAGGTTGTTGGGCTTGTCCTGCTTTTGTATCTGTTAGGACTCTCTAGGCTTAATTGCAGTGGGGAGTTCTGCTTGTTTAGTTTGGCTTTGAGTTTGCTAGTTTATTGAGGTTCTAGGCCGTATTCATGTGTGCCTCTCAGTCTTTGATTTGCGGTAGTTGTGATTTGTACCTAAATATTGTTCCTGTTTCTTTGAGTTAATAGTCATCTCTATCGTTTCGACAAAAAAAAAAAAAAAAAAAAACGATGAAGTTGAAGTGTGTTATACCCCAAAAGTCCCTAAAGGCACGGCCCACCAGGAGCAAAAGCCCAGACGCGCAATTGAGCCTACACAAATTCCCGCAACAAGCATGCGAACGACCCAAGACGTGGTGTTAGGCATGCCAATCTCCGGATCGGCAGACATCGGTCCTTGCCGATCCCTCTTAGATGTTGATTATGTTTGATATAGATTCAAAATGGTATGGGAGTCAACTCATAATAATAGGTGCATCTCGGGTTAGATACAACTTGGGTGGTAAGTTAGCAGGTCGACTCACGAATTTACATGAAAGGGGCAACTCAGATTAACCTAGGCAGAGTCTAGCACATGATGGAAGATATACGAGCTAAAGGTTAGGGTCCTCGAATGACCTAACTATACTCGATCTAGTGGAGTGCAATGGAGTATTTGGAACATCGACCTAAGTGATTACCCAAATAGCAAATTATAAGAAGAAGCCTTTTCTTAAGCGGAATCTCTAAACTCTGAAGAATCGTACCTAAATTTGAAAGAATCCTAATAACCTAGATAACTTCAGAAAGATGTTATTTATGATTATATATAGTTCATTACTAAGTTTGAAATTCCAATGTTAATTATTACAATTAGTGCAATTACAAACATAAAAAACCTCTGCCCATGCTTTACAAGTTCTTAAAGTTGGCTATTAATTTATTTTTCTTAGGATTTCTCCTTTTTTTTTTTTTTATNATTAAGAGTGGGCAGTGATGTTCTCATCTGGTGCAATTAGATGTGTTTATATTGGTGAAAAAATTTAACCAGATGAAAACAAAAATAGTGGGATATTTAATAGTTTTCTAATGTAAATTAATGTAATATGAAGAATCTCTCTCCTTGTATGTAATTGTAGAGTTTCTCAAAACTAAGTATCAACTTTAAATGTTTTTTGTAGACTTATGCATTGCTTTATAATGCTTCGTAATCTTATTTATCAATTTATATGTCTCAGAGTAGTTATATATCAGGCGGCCTAACGATTAGACTGTTCTGACTGTTAATACTTTTCTAACAAAGATGCAATTTGGATTAATTTTTGCAACTCAACAATCTTTGGGGCAGATTTTCGCATTTACATGCGAGGTCAAATTTACAACTTTATATTAAAAATTTATTGGTTTCAACAATCATTTCACCAAGTTACATTTGCATAATTTATTAACATACAATACTTTATTTATTTCAAATTATTAAAAAAAAAAATGCAATACGTATTGATAAAACTAATTATTTATTTAAAACTGCAAATGTTAATACAATAAACATATAAAAAATATTTATTACGATGATTTGATGTTAAGAAAAGTAATATTAATATTTCTTTTTTCAAAAAGTAATTGGTATCCAAATATTACAAACATTTTGTAGTTTTAGGTATAAAATTATTTCATCCAAAAATATTTTTTAAATGTAAGACATAATTTGTTTTTTATTTTGAAAAAGATCAATTTGAAAAAAAAAAAAAAACAATTTGAAAAAAATGTTGAAATTACATTCAATTTAATTGGTATTGCCCAACTGAAACAGGATATGCAAAACTATGCTTCCTGCATTTGAAGTATGTTCCATGGACAAACTTCCCCATAAATCAGAAAGAAATTTACCTCTAATTAAGAAAATATGAAGAGAAAACCAAGGTACATCCATATCGACCAAGAAGCCGAAGAACGTGAAAAGAGCTGTTCTTATCGAACAAATGCAGTCAGGCAGCTAGAAATCGATGATGGCAGCACCACTCGATGGCTTGGATGCAAAAACATAGAGCCCGAGATCGTTTTTCTTTATCACCCCTTTGTCGATTCTTGATTGGTAAAATTGCTCCTGAAAAACATTAATGAACAACATCTAACATTTCCCATGGAATTCCGATTTCGAATCTCCATTCTTATACGGTATTTCATATAATGCTAGATTTTTTACCATAATAATGACATCATCTTACGTGCACGACATCCACAATTTCACATAAATGGCGCTTTTAGCCGTAATAAACAATTTCTCAAATTCTTGTATGAGTCAGCCTAACCGTTAGGCGGGTTGACACGTTATTCTTTTATTTTTTTAACAAAAACACATTTTTAGGCTATGAAATGTCATAAATTTGTTTGTTTTTCAGAGTATGACATTTAAATTTGAAAGTGTGAATATCTATTGGAAAATTATGGTAGCATCCTTCCTAAAATTATATTTATTGCGAAAACTCTCAAAGAGTACTCGTGTAAATCGAGGTAATTTTTGCAATCATAGAGAATGTGAAACTAACCTTCAAATTAAGGATAAATTTGGGAACAATATTTTCCTTCACGAGGGCAACCACACAACCACCCCAACCGGCCCCAGTAAGCCTCGCCCCAAAGGCACCATTATCACGACAAACCTTCACAAGCTCTTCTAATTCAGGGCAGCTGATTATGAGAGGTTTTATACAAAACGAAAAAGTAACCGTACAAATAATAAGATTATATGGAAAAAAAAAAGGAAAGGCAAAAAAATGAAAAAAGATAGACCTCCATTTTTATTTTTTTGCATAAATGGGTAAAATCGAAATTTTTTAGTACAAAGAGAGAGACTCGTGTGGTACCTGCACTCGTACAACACGCTGCAGCTATGGTGGCTCTCGTTCATGAGGTCACCAAGCTTCTTAAGTGTTTCATCCTCACTGCAAATATAAATTTAAAAAAAAAAATCTTTAAAAAGAAAAACAACTCACTCAGGAATCGGGACTTATTAAAACTTCAATACAAGCGCTTTTATAATACATGGTATCTTAAGAACTTGAGGGGGAGTATTTAACGCGAGGCTGAGTAAAATAATGGAGTCATAAGTATTTGCCATTATTTCGACTAGTTGTAATACACGAACAAAAGATAAGTATCAATACAATACATAAATAAATAAATTATACGGCAATTAATGCTATTAACTCACCTCGTCTTTGACGATACAACTTCTTTGAAAGCATAGACCCGTTTAGCTTCTGAGTATACATGAGCAGCTCTCTGAATAGTTAAAAAAAAGTCGTCTCCAACATGTTCGGATTAATCAAGAGTAGTATGATGGGAACATGCAACAACTAAGATATCCCNCATATGCAAATGACAAAAAACATTAGAACCAAATTACATAAACACATATACACACACAAAATTCCGCTTCTTGTAAAAAAAAATAAAAATAAAATAAAATTAAAAAAAAAATGAAATTGTCCTTCAGATGACAAAAAATGGTACCTTGACAGCAAGAATCGGATCAGACGACCCACGTGTACCCGCAAACGACACACAAAGTCCCTCAACATCTGAAAGCGTCTTCACGTTAGCTATTGCCTCTTGGGCACTCATCCCGAGTTTTATCCCCAATACAATCTGTGACATAGACCAATAATCATTTCCATAAAAATGAACAAAAAGAAGAAAACAATCAAATTAATTACATCCTTTAGTGAATATATATTGTATTTCTCGAAAGGCATAAATATAAAGTTGTAATAAACTTACAGAAGCTAAACGACACTCGACAACCCGATTGTTGTAGTTAGTTGCGGCTGTAACTGCTTTCTGAGACTCGGCCAATGAGTGTGCAATAACAAACGAGCCGCCTATAGGGAGCTGAACTTCGGTAGCACGAATAGGGTTGAAGTCTATAAGTGCTGCGAATCTCGATTGAGCCATAACTGATATTGCCTGTACAAGAAAATATCTTATCTTAGTCAAGTTTAACTTCTAGAACAAAATTCATGATGAAATATGATGATCTTGAGAAAGCAGCCAACTCTAGTAATTCTTTATTATTTTGTTATTTTTTTTTTTTTTAAAGTTTGGGTTTTTAATTTATAATTTGGAACGAGTAATGAATTACCTGGTCCATTCCACCCGATTGAGTCCCGATGTGTCTTTCACATTCGCAAGTAAGCTGAGCAAGTTCTTTCTGGAAAGAAAAAAACACATGAATGTAGAACTCATAAAATGAGCCTTTTATGAGATAGTTCTTGGAATGAACTATAGAAGGTTCGAATACCAATAGAAAGATAAAAGCACAGTTATCTCGAATTAAGAGGAATATGACATCACCTTGGGAACACTTGCGCCTAAAACTGCCATTATAGCAATTGTGGAAGAGCAAACAAATGCAGCAGAGCTCGACAACCCAGATCCTAACGATCTCAGCTCAAACATCGAACAATATTAATCAATAATAGCTGACTTTCCATTAAAATCTCAACTTACATCCAAATATGTATAGATTAGGTGAAATTACCAGTTGGTACAACACCATCAACAACAACCTCAAGTCCAACTGTTTCGCCAATGTCTATACCCTCGGATTTTGCATACTCATAGAAGCCTTTGTACCTGAATAAGAATATCAAAAGTTAGAATTTGAACATTATCTTTGCACTTTGAACATTGTTTGACAAAATATTTGAAGAAGTATAATCTGTTTGAAGGTATTTTCAAGAAAAGACAATCATACCCACAAATAAAATAGTGACCCCATCTGTGGTTCTTCAAGTCAATTTCCTGACAAGAAAATAGCCACAATTTCAATAAGATGTAAGGGATCAAGTGACTCACACTTAGGTTATCCAATGTGACATATACAAATAAACAAATTGCAGTGACAATGTATTTCCTTATTTCAAGAAAAATGGTTCTTTTACTATTATATATAAGGCATTGTCTAAGGTAATTAATCCCAATATTTCAACAAATTTGCTCACAAATCTATATCCCAGTGTTTAATCTCAACAACAAAACTATGTAGCATAAATTCTCAGTTTCAATAACAAAAATGTAAAAACAAGCCTCGCAGAATTATTTTGTTGATTACTTTGTAGGCTTTGTATTATGAAACATTCAGAACACAAAGCATACAAAGTATTGGTACACCAGAAAACCAATCTCCAACACTGCACAACACACTCAAGCACTGCAAATAATAACTAAATTCTCACAGAAACTTAATATTTGCACCATAAGCAATCAACAAACTGCCCAAAAGAACAATCTTTCTGCTCAGTCCTACTCATAATAGCATAAGATTGCACGAGCTCAAACAGTGAGCAGAAAATTAGTTCCACTACATGGTATGGATCAACTGGATAAACACATAAAAGAAAAAAAAAAAAAAGAAAAAATAATGCAGATTATGATCACAGGCACAAAACCCCAGGAGTAAACATGGACAAAGTGAACCGAGCACGTATTGAACCATACCTGATCTGGATCAGCAGGGTAAGTACATAAAGAATATTTCTCATTATTCACATTTGCAATCTTAAGAACTTTATCTCCTCTAACTTTTCGTATGGCGACTATAGTATCCTGTCTGATCGCCATTGGCAACACAGAGTAACCTTCATAGTCTATGTGCTCTCCAATCAAATTCACCCTCCCTACAAAGGGGCAAAGGTTAAAAACAAATGGCACTTAAGAAAATTTTCAAATAACAGTTCAAAAGAGACACTTTCCAGATTCAAACCAATACATTTTCAATATACAGCTTGTCAAGAGACTCGAATATCAAATTCAACAATGAATACGAAACAAGCCCAAGTAAATTGTGTTCTGAATAAAACCTCCTGGAAACTCACAAACAAATATGAAACAAACCCAACCCACGTAAACAACTTTCTGAATGACACTACCTGAAAACTTACAATCCAATGCGAAACAAGTAAATGACTTTCTAAATAATACCACCTGGAAATTCACAAACGAATGCGAGACAATCCAAATAAACGATATTCTGAATAAAACCACTCAAAACTCGCAAACGAAACAAACCCAAGTAAACGACATTCTGAATAAAACCACCGGAAAACTCACAAATGCATACGTAACAAACCCAAGTACACGACTTTCTGAAAAATATAACCTGGAAACTCACAACCGACAACCGAATGCGAAACAAACCCAATTTAACAACATTCTGAATAAAACCACAGAATACTCACAAACAAAACAAACCAAGTAAACGACTTCTGAATAAAACCACCTGAAAACTCACAAACGAAACAAAACCCAAGTAACCTTCTTTCTGAATAAAACCACCAGGGAACTCACAAACGAAAAACTCAAGTAAATGACTTTCTGAACAAAACCACCTGGGACTTGTAAAATACCTGGAGATCGGGCGTAGATATCAGGGGCATGACCGAAGAACTCAATGAATTTCGATTTCAATTTGTTGAATCGAAGCTCCGCCTCTTCAAGCAGCGACCCGGTTCCATAAACGGGTTCGAGGGATTTGAAAATGGGAACTGGAAGCTCCTCGTGTCTCGCCATTGATTATGCAGAAAAAGTTGTATTTTCTCTTCAGTTCACTTGTCGATCTATATATGGAATTAATAAAGAGAAAGGTACGAAATTCTGTAAAGTTTTGGAGCTTTGTGAGAAAAAAAGTGGAATATTTTGTTGTTGGATCAAGTGAAAAAAGAGGATTCTTGATAAAGAGATGATAGGCTGACAAGGGTTGATTATGAATTTGGAACAGCTTGAGTCTTGGGGCTATCCATAAAAAGTTAAAACTTCGTGAGTGGATAATCAAAACATGAATTTTGCCTACGTTATAGAAACCGCAAAAGATTTCCTGTCAATAAATATGATTGGAGTGTGTAATCAAGAGGGCTCAGCAGTTGATAGCCGAGTTGTGAGAGATGCCGTCAATAGGGCGAATGGTTTGTATGTCCTGGTTAGTCGTACAAACTTATTTTTGGTAATCTTATTAACACTAGCAAGTATGCACAATATTAATTCATGTCCTCTTTCATCTTATCATGTAATTACTACTTATATGTGATGGTGGATACACGAACGATGCATGATTTTTAGCTCCGTATAGAGGAGTACAATATCTCTTTTGAGAGTATGGACTTGGTGGTCGTTCTCCAACCAATCATAGAGAGCTTTTTAACCCAAGCAATGCCAAAGCCTGAAATATCATAGAATGGTCATTTGATGTGTTAATAATGCGTTGGGCTATTCTCCAGAGCCCTAATTTCTTCAAACTGCGTACCCAAAAGTGGTCATACTCGCTTGTTGTCTTCTTCAAAACTTTATTCGCACATCCATGTCGGTAGACCCACTTGAGGGATACATTAGTAATGATATGAATGAGTCGGTGCATATGTCGGGTGATGATCGTGTTGAGTTTGTCGATGTGGTAGAGCCAAGTCAATGGACTAATTGGAGAGATAATTTAACATTATCAATGTACATGCATGGTTAGCCGAAGAGCGAGGGGAACAAATATGTTTTAATAATTTTAGGAAATACTGTTTCATATTTGTTTGCTTGTGTTATGGTATCCTGAATGTTTGTTTCGCCAATGTAAAACCTGTCTGTTATATCCATGAAAATGTGTGCTTGTCATTATTACATTGTTGTTGTTTTTATTTATATTCCTACAAACAAAACCAAATATTGGACATGCTATAGTTATGTAGTCTAACGCTGACATCGGTCGTAAGGTGTCCAACACAAGTAATCGCAGAGTGTGGTCAATAGAGGAGGAAACAACCTTAATTAATGGATTAAAAGAAATTATTGCACGTGGTTGGAAGTGTGAAAATGAATTTCGGTTTGAATACGCGAATGGATCCACGGATGAGACAAGTTAGCGCAATACTACTAGAGAGTACAGTTTCAATATTTTCCATACGCAATCCTTTGTATAGATGTTGTGGCGGTCGGACGCTAAGATGGAATAAACCTGCTAAGGTGCCAAATGTACCTACTGTACTAGAGCACCACATGAACCAAGCGTTCCCGAGCACAGACATTAAGGCCGACCCACATATTTCTTCTAGGATACATGTGTGAAAAAAGTACTACGTGTCCTTGAGTTTGATGATGGGCTCGTCTGGTTTTGGTAGGTCTGAGACCGGCGCGATGATTGAAGTGAAAGATCCGGAATGGAATGCTTTTTTGAAGGTAAAAGTCCACATATTATTTTATTTACGTTAAAATATTGTATCTATTCTCTTTGGTTTTTGAATTATTTTGATTACCACACTGTGATTTCAGTTCGTTAACAATATACATTTTTCTGTTTTGCTTTATAGGTCGACCCAAAAGCAAAACCAATGAGGTATAAGTCATGGCTCTTTTATGGGGATTAGTGTGAGAGCTTTGGAAATGATAGGGCTACCAGTGAGAATGAGACAGGATTTGTTGCTGCAGTTAATGATGTTTTAAACATGCCTTCGACGCCAACTACTCCAAATCCATCTAGAAGATCGGATACTCATCAAACCAGCCCACCTGAAGAACCACTTAAGAAGGAGTCAAATGTGCATTTAAGTGAGAGTAGCGTGTCTGGTAGAGAGAATAGATCGAGAAAGAAAAGAAAACGTCTGAGGATGATGATCAGTTCTTTGGGATGTTGTCGTCCTTCTGCAAGCAAACCGCAGAGAACATATTGCAAATAGCGGTGAGTGTCGGTCATGCACACGCTGAAAAAGAACAACGTAGCAAGGTGTACGAGGCCTTAGTTGTTATCACCAACCTAACAATGGAAGAGAAACTTCGAACGTCCAAATACCTTAGTCATGAATACGACACACGGGTGAAAATGGTTTAAAATAGCGAAAATAGGTTTCATTGTGCGTGTGTTCTTATGCTTCTAATCTTGTAAGTCACTGAATTTTAGTATTTAACCTTGTATTATTTAGTTCTTCAAATTTGGGGATGTTGATTATATATGGAAATTTATGTGTACGGTTTTATTTGGCCACCTATGTATGTTTAAATAAATGGCAGCCATGAACTACTCTTGTTACCTACATGTGCAAAAATAATGGTTGAGACGGTTTTGTTGTTGCATGTAATTCGGTCGGGGTTGTTGGGTGTTGTTGTTAGACCACGAAAAGTTGGGGTGATTTCTCCACCCCGGGTTGTAGGTGTTTGAGTAAGGGTCATTGGCCGGTCAATTTTGGTACCCTTGGAGAGCATTGGTATACGTATATTTCTCCCCGAAGTCTTGGTCGAAGGCCGCCGGGCACACCTCGGATCGGTGCCTGTGGCCTCCACATGTTCCGCAAGCTTCAACCGCCATTATTTGTGCCGGTTGGACACTTCTTGCATTAAATAGCCGCATTTGCTCCGTGAGTTCGGCTATTTGGTGAGCTATCATGTCTTTTCTGGGGGCGACCTCGTTCACCATCGTCTTATTTCCTCGGCTGCTCTTTTGAGACGAGTTAGCACTCATCGTCTCAAAAATCTCCATCATCTCCTCGGCCGTCTTTGCCCCGATATCTCCACCGGCCGCATTGTCCACCATGTATTGAAGGTTTTGGTGGAGAGAGTCGTAGAAGCTACTCACCAATAGACCGGGTGAAAAGTTGTGGTGTGGGAATTGCCTCTGGAGGTCCTTGAAGCGTTCCCATGCCTCATGGAGTGGTTCGTTGGGTTGTTGGGCGAAGGAGACGATTTGCGATCGGAGCTCTTGAGTCTTTTGATAGGAATAGTACCTCTCGATGAACTTCGAATACACTTGCCCCCAAGTATTAAGGGAATCGGGAGCAAGTGTCATAAACCAAGCCTTAGCTCGGTCTTTGAGTGTCTCGGGAAAACACCGCATCTTCAATTGGTCTTCGTTGAGCCCGTGCAGTGGAAAGGTTTGAAGGACGTTGTAAAATTCGCGGATGAAATGGAGCAGATCTTCGTTGGGTAGCCCATGAAAGGATGGGAGTTGGTTATCGTGTATAGTCTTGAGCTCGTAATTTCGAGCCGTCGGTCCCAATCGAACACATGAAGTCACCGGGCTAATCACCGGATGGGCTAAGTCCCGAAGAAGATATCGCGGGGGGTTGTTTACTTCCTCTTCTTCGTGTCGGGCCATGTCGCCTTGCTTGTCGGAATTTGATGGTTCAAGAGAAAGGTTGGCAAACAATTCTCGTAGATCGTCGTTGATGGACTTGTTGCTCGGAATGAGTACACGTCCACTCTTAGTACGCATACAAAAACAACAATGCGTTACGAGAACCCGTTGACAAAAAAGAGCTAAGGACAAATGCCTCGAAAATAATACTACTACTCGGAAAAATAGAACAAGAAATAAAGAGAAACACAAAAACAAGAAAATCACAAGAATTAAGCGAAACACGAAAACAAATGAATAGACGCACGAAATAATTCCTAAACCTTCCCCGGCAACGGTGCCATTTTGTTGTAGTTTATTTTACCGGAGTCATCAAAAGATTCGAACATCGAGTCGTGTTCTCAAGGAAGGTTAGCCGGACTATTTTGTACGTTTATTCAATCACAAAAACGAAAATAATTCTAAACACTCTAATTCAAATTGTTGGTTGGGTTTTTACTTAATAATTCTTAACTAGAACAATTTAAAATTACACTTATGAAAATAATTCAAAGAGATATAAATTAGCAAGATGAAGATAATTCCAAGGAATGTAAATGACTGGGGTGTCGGGGACAATCCTTTTCGGTTTTTACATGAATTTGACGGTTATCAACTACTCGATTAAAAAGCTCGATCAACTAACTCATTTAGCGGTTTTTCCTCACTAACTTTCGTAATATGCAGAAAAACATCAATGAGTAAGTTAACGAGACAATTAACACATAGACAATACGTTTCCGAACATGTCTATTCTAAACGAGTCAAGTTCTACCAATTTCGCTCCTATCGGTTTTGAAATCGATTGTTTAGATTAAAATGATGATCAAGCATTCAATCGTGAAATAAGTAAAACTCGTAAAGATGGAGTAATTGATATACACATAAGTAAGAACGAACCGAAACGATTATCCCCTAACCCTAGTTAGAAGATTAGTTGTTCATGATAAGTTTAACATAATCATTCACATTAAAACAAGCCATCTTTAACATAGATAAAATGAAATAGATAACTTACTTGTAATGAGAAATCCACAAGCGCAAATGCAAACTTAATATAATCACAACAATGTCTTCAATACAAACCACAATACAAACTTAGAAAAACTTAGGAAAAATGAAGGAAATTCTTGAAGAAAATTATGAATCAAAGAGTTGGATGATTATACATTGTAATAGAGGTGTATTTATAGTGTTCAACCCCCAAATTTCAGATGTAAGTGCCCAAAAACATGCTCATAATTCGCCACTATCATCCACTAAGGAGGAAAAGAGGGAAAAAAGCCATAATTTCAGCAAACTGCAGGTCTCGCGGCCGCAGAGGAACTCGCGGCCCGCGACTATAAGATCTCACGGCCGCGACATGCTCCGCGGCCCGCGACGAAGGTAATTTCGCGGCCGCGACATGTCCCGCGGCTGCGACTTCAGCAAGCAGGAAAATCTCTGTTTTCCTTCGCTGCCCGCTATCATCATCTCGCGGCCAGCGACGATGTAATTTTTCGATTCATTGTTCGGGCTCGTATGCGCTTATCCAGACTCGGAATTGACTTCCGTTTTTTGCTATGTGTTGCCCACGAACTCCTTTATACATTTATGCCTTCAAACCAATTTTTCTTGGAAAGAGAACTCGCCCAACTTCCAACCTACCATAAGAAAAACGATACAACACGAAACATAAAACAGGAGAAAAAATACATGAACAACTCACAAATAAGGAGAAAACACATAATCGAACACTAAACGAAATAAAAATGAAAGAAATTACCTAAAATGGGGGGAAAAGAAAGATAACATAAGTACGAAAAATATAACAAAAATGCGACAAACAACTACAAAATAGTTGTCTGATACAAACTTTAAAAAAGATAATATAAGATAGAAAGTCATGTGAGTGACGATGTCATTTAAAAATAATTATATACTTTTTTTAAAAAAAGTATTTAAAAACCAAAATAATTTTATTTTATTATTATTTAATTTTAAATATATTCACGTGTATTATAGTGTTGTTTATATATCAACTAAATAATCGACCGAGGAAAACTATTATTACGCAAATAAAAATAACGTATCACTCCAAAAAAACCTTCAACTACTAGTTTCAGCTTTTATCTTTTCACTAGATATCGAGTTATACATGTCATAACTTTCTCAAAAGGTTAGGAATAAGATAAATCAATGAACCACTCTACAAAAATGAAAATAAAAAGTAACTCTATGAGGACTAAACTAGTACAGTACCCGTGCGATGCACGGGATGGTATATTTTCCTGAAATGTTTAACGTGTGAAATATTAAAAATAATATAATTTATATATATGTAATAAAAATAAATGGATTGCAAAGAAGGAAAAAAAATATAAATTATTGAACACTTTCTTTGTGAAGTAAAATTTGTGAAGGTTTGGTATATTTGATTATGAATAGAAAAGTATGAAATACTACCTGCGGACCGTTGAGATAGATGAGAAGATTTACTTAGAATATATAGAATAAATATTGAGATAATGATTTACCTTTTACCTAGTATAGATAAAATAAATATTGACATGATGTGGGAAAATTATGACGAATTATGATATAAATTCGTTTAGAAAATATTCAAAAATTAGATTTATTTTTTATTTTTTAAATCTTTACAGTAATTCGTACGTTCCTTTTCATACGCTTAATTTACAAATCAAAATTAATGCAACTCGAAATATTATATAACAAATAAAATGAGATTTTTATCTAACATTTAGTATATTGCCGGAAAATTTTTTATAAATCTTATTCTCTTTTTATGCACATAGATATTAAAGAATGAGTAAAAAAAATATCTAAATATGTTTAAAAGTATCTAATATTATATGTGTTAACAGTGTTACAACCAAAAGACATTAAGAATACGCAGACAATTATATGACATATGTGAAAGTATTAAAATATTTTATATTATTATTGAAAAATGTGAAATTACCTCAATTTTGTCTAGACTATTTTATAAGAAAAATATATATACTTAAAGTTAGCACACATATATATATATCCTTAAAATTTGCCCAACTAACATGTTTAAAAGTATATAAAATTTTATATATAAAATACGTTTAAAGTTTACATATTTTACAAAAATTAGACTGCTCTCAGTTTATATAAAGTTTGTTGCTCTCATATTCGGATAATGTATTATGCATTTAATGAAAGCACCTACGATACAAATTTATAAATATTAATTAAAATAATTTTCTAAATTATATAAAATTGAAATAACAAAGGTAAATATTACCTGTTCATCGTGAAAATGCGTTACAGCTCTCCCGTTTTCAATAATGCGGACTGCTCTCAGACACAAAAAAGGTTTGTTATAAATATTAATTAAAATAATTTTCTAAATTATATAAAATTGAAATAACAAAGGTAAATATTATCTATTCATCATGAAAATGCGTTACAGCTCTCCCATTCGTGATGGGTTTGAATAATGCGGACTGCTCGTGATGGGTTTCAATAATGCGGACTGCACTCAGACGCTGTTGATAAACGGATTTAATCAACGTTAACAATGTAAAATTAACACAAAAGATTGCAGAGAATGAGAATTTTATTGAATATTTTGAAGTCGGTTTTAGTACAGGGAGGTCGGTTTTTCAATGTATTTCAAGTCGGTTTACAATGAGATAGCCGAGCTGAATATATGAATGCGTATGATCGTTTTTCGAACC